TGTAGTCTGCTTCCTTAAAGATTTACAGCCTTGGAAACTCAATGGGTGTTGCTATGAGTTGGAATCAACCCAATGGCAGTGAGTTTGGTCTGATCTAAATAAAATAGCTTTAAAAATACTGTATATAAGAGCTTTCCTCTACACAATGTCTGAATAGCATGATTGTTATTTTTGCTTTAGCAGATACACTTCATAAAAGGGATAAGATGAGCATATGAATGAGTGCAGGGAAACTTGAGTTACAGGTGAGCAATGAGACAATGGATCCTTCCCATGACATAGTCTTAAGTCAGGTGACTATGACAGGATCTGAGGTCTGGTACTTTTAAAATCACCCCAAGATGTCCTTTAGGCACAGCAGAAGTGGCTAAATCTCTTCCTTTCTTCTTTCTCTAATATGCTTACTATCTCTGTGTATAGAATTTAGAATAATAATATTTATTAGACTCTCTTCACATTCACTCTTGGAGCTATTTTCTTGTATTCACATTTGATTTATCTGTCTCAAGTACCGATTTAAACTTCTTTGAAGATCAGGACATCTATTTATTTGGTGTAATGGCTGCCTCTGTTTGTTTTTATCTCCAGGCACATCTTTATGGATCACTGAAGAACACTATTGCATTTCTCAAATGACACAAATTATGGGATTCACCAGCAGCCAGAGAGATCTCATCAGGTGGAATTTTAAATGTAGAGGAGATGCCGAAGAAGTTGGCAGAGAAGTTTGACTCTTGGAGACACCCTGTGTATCAAAGTAGAATTGTGCTCCATAGTGTTTGCAGTGACTGATATTTTGGAAGTAGATCACCAGGCCTTCCCTCTGAGGCACTTCAGGGTGGACTGGCACCTTCAACTTTTTGGTTAACAGCCAAGTGTATTAACCATATGTGTATTAACCAAGTGGTATTATACCACTGAGGGACAATATGAGCCCAGGTCAAAAGTAATTAGGAAGGCAAACCTTTATAAAACCAAAAATAATATGAGGGATCCCAAACCCAAGCAGGATGGATGGGATGACCCATTATTTTCCTATTGGGGTCCTGGTCTCAGAAGCAGGCATGGGGGATGGGTGCTATTTGAGAATTATTTCTTTTTCTCCAGGAAGGAAAAAGGAAATATTTTGCTTATTTATTTAATTCTGGGTGAAAATAGACAGCATTTCAACAATTTCTACATGTATAATTTAGTGACATGTAATCATTCTTCAAGTCGTGCAACCATTCTCACTATCATTTTCCAAATTATTCCACCACCATTGACATAAAGTCACTGCCCCCTAAGCTTGTGACCTAACCTTTTGAGTTGCTGTTGTCTATTTGATTTCACATAGCTAATTCCTTAAAAGAACACAATATTCAAAGCAGACATACTTTAATAATTAAGCTAAACTGTTGTTTGGTTCAAAGAAGACTTCAGAGGATAGTTTTTGTTTAAGGTTTAAAGTTTAAAGATTATCTCAGGGCAATATTTTTAAGGGTTCATCCAAGCTCAATGGCTCCAGAAATTCTGAATCCCATTTAGAATTTGAAATTCTGTTCTGCATTTGATCAGGGTTCTTCTATAGAATCTTTGATCAAAACGTTTAGTAATGGTTGTCACTCTTCTAGTCTTATGCTAAATAGAGGCAATCAAACATACATTCCCTTCTCTGATTCCTGACTCTTCTTCCATATTAATTTTCTTTGTCTATTCTTGTTCCATATCCTATTGTCAGTGTGGCCATCCTCTTCTCTGTGGCCACCTGAAGCTTCCTAATGATTCCATGAAGCTCACCGCAGTTCCCTCCTCTTTCCTGACACTCCAGAATACTTGGTGGGCAGCCATTAGTTAGCACATACACTCTTCTTTGCTGTTGTTAACTACCTCAATGAGCTCTTGAAGTTATATGACCTCTCATTTTTGTATCCCAAACAATGCCCCATCACATAAAACCAGTTGGCATTGCGTTGACTCTGACTCATGGTAAGCTCATGTTTTGTACCACCCTGCTGCTCCTATCTCATATAGCTGCTTAATTAATTGATGAAGTAATTGATTTTGACTCAATCCCAGAGACTAAGAGATATTTGGCAGCTCATAAAATTAGAATGGATTTGTGGTCAACTTTAAAATAAGAAAGACATTCACTTGCCCATGTATCTTAGTTTCTTACTGCTTCTGTAACAGAAATACCACAGGCTTTAATGAACAGAAAGTTATTTTCCTATAATTTAGGAGGCTAGAAGTACAAATTGAGGCCACAGGCTCTAAAGGAAGACATTCTCTCTCTCGCTAGCTCTCTCTCTTTCTCTGCTTTTCAGCTTCTCTTCCTCAGTTCCTTGGCCATTTTCATGTAGCATGGCATCTGTTTTCCCCCATCTGTACGTCCTTGCTTCTGGCCTAATATGCTCTTTTTATACCTCAAATGTTGTAAGGTTTAAGACATACCCTGCACTGATATGTTCTCATCATTACAACTATGTCCAAATGGGATTGTGTCCACAAGTATAGGTTAGGATTCCAACATAAATTTTTTTGGGGGATACAATTCAATCCATAACAAGAAGGAAGGAACTTGCAGTTTTATCTAGGAGTAAGACTTGTGACTTACTAAATTATCTCTGGAAGTCCTTTTTAGTTGGGTAGCTCTGCCTTACGATTTTGCTGTCTAGAGAACTTTATTTTGTGTTTGGGTCAGCTGGGATTGATCTTTACCATCAGCCATCAATTGCCATGTCAGCCATGCCCATTCTCAAGGGTTTAAAAAATCATACCATTTGCTTTGGGGTTGATTTTGACTCTTGGAGACACCCTGTGTATCAAAGTAGAATTGTGCTCCATAGTGTTTTCAGTGACTAATATTTTGGAAGTAGATCACCAGGCCTTCCCTCTGAGGCACTTCAGGGTGGACTGGCACCTTCGACTTTTTGGTTAACAGCCAAGTGTATTAACCATATGTGTATTAACCAAGTGGTATTATACCACTGAGGGACAATATGAGCCCAGGTCAAAAGTAATTAGGAAGGCAAACCTTTATAAAACCAAAAATAATATGAGGGATCCAAAACCCAAATAGAATAAAGTTGTGCATTGTTTCATATTTGTGTTCACATCATTCTCCCCACTCCTTTCCACTCACAAAGTTTGATGCTTGACTATCTTCTAAGCCCCTCGTATTGCTATCATCAGTGGCACTGGCAATGAGTTTTGCTGAAGGGGAGGCTTATTAACAAGGCTAATAAATTGAATAATCAAGGCAGGTTACTTATAGGACACCCCTTCTGAGTCTTAAGTCTGAGTGAGTGAGAAAAGCAATGAAATATTCCATTTATTCACCCCACGTGACTTCTTTTCTTTTCGTAGGTCTGTTTCTTCTATAGGGGTCAGGGCTGCCTGGCAGAGGCTGGCCAAAATTAGAGAAATCCTGACTTTAGCTGTTTCAAGAAAAGTCACACTGTCTGCAGAACAATCAGAACATAACTAAATATGGGAAAAAGGTATAAAGTTGTTTCCATTTTCCTCTATAATGGGCACTCACTTGGAGACTTGTTTTTGTGGCTGTTGCTCTATCTACATTTTGACTAGTACACTTGGAACACTACCTCCGGGCAATTTGAATGAAAGGTTGTTTTCAAGGTTTGAGTAAACTGGCAAAATTTTCCATTGTTCATCAAATCTGGAGTGAATGGTTGGCCTGAGCTGGATATTTCTGGGCCCTAGGTATACTCCTGAAGAAATAACTGCTGTAGCTCTACATTAGCAAATGGTGATGCCAACAGCTAAATCAATGCTGGAAGCTTTTAATTCCTTTCACTGGTATGTGAAGCATAGCCCTTCGTTGCCCGAGAGGGAACAGCATGCAGCTGTGCTGGGTTTCCAACTCCTCCCAGCTTTGCCTGATGAGCTTATTTTTTCCAACACTGCTCTATCATAACAATCCAGTCCTTTCCCTGCATTCCTGGCCCCTCGTGAAGGTTTATTATGTTCATGCTGAAAGAAAAGGTGTCTGTGCATACTGTATCTCTTCATTTGGCTTCAGGGATTTCCCTTTGATTTGGAAAGAATAATCTTGCAAATTCCTCTATAAAATATACAGGAGAGAAAAGAAAGATTACGCTCCAGGAATGTGCATGGGTGTTGACATCTTGTTCAAATAATGAGCTGAAAGTGAGTTATCATTAGTATTGCTCATGTGAATGATCAATGATTATAAATCTGGATTATCAGCAGTGTTGTTCACCATTGATTTATATTGCATGGTTTAATTTTGTCTCTGTCCTTCAAGATATTAAAACATAGCCAGCATTCAACAGGTACTTCCAAAAGACACCATGAGCTCCTCCACATACGCTAATTGCTCTTTCCCTGGTTCTGCTCAGAATATTTATGGTGAGTAGTGACTTATCTCCTCTTTGGCAGCCTTCCTTGCTTTCCTGTGGCGTGGAATTGCCTACATTCACATTTGCAAACAGAGGCTCACTGGAGTGTCACTAACCTAGAGGAGGTGGAGCCAAAAGGGCTTTAAAAAGGAAAGAGGAGTCATTCCACTTTTCAAAAGGAGAAATTGCGTTTGGGAGGACTCATATATCCATATTTCTTCTTTCATCCTCATCCAAGAGACGTGGCTAGAACCTTCCATCAATCCTTTCTTTTTTCTCCCTCCCTTTGCCTCATTGCTCTGCCTGTCCCAGTGAAGTCTGCTGCAGGCCTCCAGAGCTTGCCTGCTAAACTCTGCTGAATTTGTCATAAGGGTGTCAGGTATTTCTTACTGGCTCTAGAAAACTTGATAAAGAAAATATTTCCTGGAGGGTCCCTTTCAGGCTGCATTTGGAAGCTGTCTTGGGTTGTGGGAGAAAGAAGCTGGAAGGAAAAAGCAAAATTAGAAAGGTAAAACAATGCCCCAAGGCCCAAGGCTAACCTTGGTGGACAAGCTTGGGGTCAGACACTTTCACTTTGCCCAGGCTCTTCTCTACCAAAATCGACTTACTTTCTATTGAAACATCAAACCCATCGAGATGCTGCTGTTCTTATTTATTATTCTGTTGTCAGTAATTTTTCAGTTTAGTTTTGTTAGTCTCTCAGCTCTGCAGCATTGGAACTGTCCTACAGGCCCTCCTGCAGGAAATGGGGATTCCGTTTGTGTGGGTAAGTAATCAAACCAACTCGTGTCCTCCTGAACACTGCTGGACATACCTACTTATTCTGTCTTGCATACTTTGGCATTTTTTATTCTGGCTTGTTTTTGGATTTTTAAATTTGCTTAATTTTTGTTTCCTGGTGTGTATTTATTTTACCAGCTGTTAGAACTAGTTTGCTACCAACTATAAATATTTATGGCTCTCAAACTGTTCTTTTGTGTGTAATATGGCCCATTTTGTACTAGTTGACCATCTCTTTTCACACAAGCATCAGTCTTTATTCTGACATGAGGAGTAACTAAACCCTTGGTCTATTAGCTTTATAGGAAATTGGGGAAGCTTGTTATTTTTATTATTTTATAACGCTCTCCATTTAAGCCACCAAGTGGGGAAAAATTCTTCTTTCTGGCAACTTTGTGTAAGAACTCAGCAGGTGTTAATGTCAGTAAAAAAAATATGGAGGGAATAGTGAACAAACCGTAGTTCTATCCTTGTGAAGAGTAACTTAAGTTTAAACTTAACTCCCCTCCCCTCCCTCTTCTGCTATTTCTGAATCTCTGACTTAGTGCTGGTGTTTGAGTAACAGGTGCACTGTAACTTTGAAAGCTGTTTAGAAATGGCAATGGGTAAATAAACAACATTCTTCCTCTGTATTAAATGCAATTTTAAATCAAGAGAAAACAAGAATTTCCCTGAATGCAAATATTGACAATCCTGCCTCAAGTCCTTTCCTGAGAAACCTTTCTCTCTCTCTCTTCTCTCACTCTCAGCTGATTTATTTTATTTTATCTATGCATGAGTCTTCAAACTCAGACAAAGCATCCATTTCCACCCATTAGGACACGAGCTGCCCTGACATTCCCTCTCATCTTTCTTCCTTGTCACTGAGAGAGACAGAGTGGAAAAAACATAGGTGTTAGAAGCAAACAGATAAATTTCAAACCCAAGCTGCCCATTTAAGAGTTGAATATCACTGGAAACATAATAATACTTGCCTTTCAGGGTTGTTGTGGGATCACATAACAAGTAAAGCAGGCCACTGAGAAGCAGGCCACTGAGCATAGAGGCCGGCAGATGTTGTGGGTTGTTGTTAGGGGCAGTCAAGGAGATTTTTTTCACTCATAGCGACCCCATGTGACAGAGTAGAACTGCCCCATAGGGTTTTCTAGGCTGTAATTTCCACAGAAGCAGATCCCCAGGTCTTTCTTTTGCAGTGCTCTGGGTAGGTTCACACTGTCAAGCTTTCACCGAGCTTAATAAATATCTTCTTGGCCTTTAGGTCGTGCCTAAGTCTCTGATCAAATCCTGCTGAGAGGTGCTTCATTTGATTAGTGTGGTGACATGGCTCAGATCCCATGAAGTATAGAATGTCTGGATGTCACTTCATGACTCTCTGCCTCTTTGCTCCCTTGTTCCTTGCAGATCACTCCAAGTCTCAAGTTAGCTGATAATTGCCTGGGTTACAACCTGTCACCCCTTGCATTTCAGAATATAATGTTTCTTTCTCCTCTCTAAATAAATATGGTTCCATAGTCTATTTCCCTCATTGAAATTCTTCTTGCCTTTTTTCTTGTCCTTGGCACTGAGACAGAATCACCTCTGCTGCCAGCCTGACCAAGCAGGAAGAATGCATTGTGGTCTGACAGGATTCAGGTAAATTGATGCAAGGTGGTTATGTGACTACTAGCTGGATAAGCCAAGTGATAGCCACACAGAATTAAGCTTTCTTTCTATTCTTTTTAAAAACTGACTGAGTATTCTGTGGACTTTTATTTGAGCTACTGTAGGTGAGGAGAACAGTAAAGAAAACTGCTGGCAAGTGGCTTCTGAACTTTCAAGCCTAGTTGCACAAGCAGAGAAATATCAGCTGAGGAAAGGAAGTGTTCCTGCTTGCGTACCTGCAGTATTTATATGAGAAAGAAGTACAGGGAGAACTGGTTGCAGGAGGAATCTTGGGGCACTGAATTAGCCTATTGGGTAGATAAGTTTTAACAGTCAACAGTGAAATGATTGATTTCAGCACTGGCTATGGCTTTATCAGCTTCCCAGTCATGTGCCAACCAGAGTAATTCCATGATCAGGGTCTTGTTTATTTTTTCAACCAAGGTCATGCAAAAAAAAAAAAAATTACTGCAAAGGAATTACAGAGATGATTTATATGCATAGCATATAAAAGAAAACCCACTGCCGTTAAGTCAATTCCAACTCATAACAACGCTATGTTGTTGTTGTTGTGTGCCATCGAGTTGGACCCAACTCATAGCAACCCCTCCTTGGGTTGGCAAGGAAGTATCACTATGGAAGTAGATTGCCCAACCTGCCTTCCGAGGAGTGGCTGGTGGGTTTGAACCGCCAGCCTTCTGGTTAGCAGTCAAGTGCCTTAGGCACTATGCTACCAGAGCTCCCAACAACCCTATAGGACACAGTAAAAGTGCCACAGAGGGTTTCCAAGATTGTAAATCTTTAAGGGAGCAGACAGCCTCATCTTTCTCCCACCAAGCATTTTGGGTTGCAGCCCAATACTTTAACCACACCACCACCAGAGCTCCCATATGAAAGAAAGCATCCCCAAAATATATGGAGGTTTCTGGTCTTCTAGGAGTAGTATAGTGTTTTGGTTCTTTAGTGCTGCTATAACAGAAGTGGATGGCTTTAACAAACAGGGATTTATTCTCTTACAATTTAGGAGCCTAGAAGTCCAAGTTCAAAGTGCCAGCTCTAGGGGTAGGGTGAAGGGCCCTTGACCCTGGGCTTCATCTCTGCCTCTTGCTCCTGGCCCACTGGAGCTAGAGGTTTTTCTTAAGTCCAGCAGCTGCTGCCTGCTGAGGCTGACAAACCCAAGGTTGACAAGTAAAATGGCACAATCCCAAGATTATCAAGCAACACAGCAGGCCACTAGTTCAGGTCCAGAAACAGTCTCAAGATTGGCAGACAACATGGCAGGTTGTTGAATGACGACGTGGCTACATGCAAGGTCCAAGGGAGCCAAAAAGCTCAGAGACCTTTCTCAAAGCATCTACTTATATACTGGAAGCGGACCACATCCCTAAGGCAGCTACTTAGCTGCTCACAGTAGATTCCACCATGGACTTGATTATCAGTCTCATCATGGGGAATAGCTACATCCAGCTGCCCAGCCACTTAACCAGGCCCAGCCAAGTTGACACATAACCTGGGTGATTGTTATTGCTGAGGGCTAACTATTCATGGTGACCCCGTGTACAATGAGAATCCAGATTATCCACAGGATTTTAATTAGGTGATTTTCAGAAGTAGATTGCCAGGCCTTTCTTCCTAGTTTGTCTTAGCTTGGATCCTCCACTGAAAGCTGTTGCACATCACAGCAATACACAAGGCTCCCTTGACAGAAGAGTGGTGGCTGTGCATGAGGTTCTGGCTGGGAATTGAACCCAACTTGCCTGCATACTGTTTTTGTGTGCCAACGAGTGGATTTTGATTCACAGCCACCCTATAGGACAAGGTAGAACTACTCCATAGGGCTTCCCAGGCTATAATCTTTACAGGAACAGATTGCCAGATATTTTCTCCTACAGAGCTGCTGGTGGATTTAAAGTGAGAACTTTTTGGTTAGCAGCTGAGCACTTAACCATTGTACCACTAAGTCTCTTGCATAGAAGCGATGAAGCCTACCCCTGAAGGACCACTGTCCTCTAGCTTAGTGGTAAAGACTTTAAATGTTGCAGTCAGACTGGCTGGCTGGGTTCAGCTCTCAACACTGATGCTTGTGAAACATTTATTTCACTTTCCACACTGTAAAGCAAAGATAATTATACCCTCTTTCTAGATTTGATGTCAGGATTGTTTTAATGTATTTGTTTTCAATCTTGACCACTCTTGTCAGTCTGGATCACAATCTTTTTTGGAGGTGAATGCAGGTGTAAGTTTATTTTATTTATTTTTTAATTTTTAAGTTCCCTTGGTGATTCTAACAGGCAGCCTGTGGTGAAACCCACTAAATTAAGACATGTAAAGTACACAAGAGTCAGGCATGTAGTAAGCACTCAATTAAGTGTTAGCTGCTATTAATATTTTTATTGTTTTTAAAGTTATTATTATTAATCTTATTAGTAGTTTCTAAGTGTGGTTTGATTTTATCTTTAATTATTGCTCCTTTTTTTTTTCCACATTTGGAAAAATGCTATATACCCAAACCCACTGCCATCGATAGGCAATCCTTAAATCATCAACATCAGACTTAAAGACAACTCCTACTTGCACCTTAATGTTATGTAAAATTGCCCTTACTTTGAAAGTATTGAACCAGTCCCTACGCACAGCACTTTCACTTACAGCATTTGCAGCCTTTAAATCATTGAAAACTTCAAACTTTTTTTTTGCACTGAAAAAAAAAGACCTCACTACCATTGAGTTGGATCCAACTCATAGTGACCCCTCTTTGGGTTCCTGAGGCAGGGGTCACTATGGAAGTAGATTGCCCAATCTTCCTTCTGAGGAGTGGCTGGCAGGTTTGAACCACCAGCCTTATGGTCAGCAGCAAATGCCTTAGGCACTACACCACCACAGTGAGAACTATATGCCCCTGTTTTCAACTTACATACAAATACTCAAAAACACAAATATGAATGGATCTCATTTGTACTCAGGGACTGCCAGTATTGAAAATCCTGATGAGTTTTGTGATGGTGGTTAAATACTTGGTTGCTAACTGAAAGGTGAGTAACTCAAACCCACCCAGCAACTCCACAAAACCACCTGGCAATGTGCTCCCTTACAGATTCCAGACCTCATAGCCATCAAGTTGATCTGACTCATGGCTACCCTGTAGGACAAAGCAGAAGTGCCCCATAGGGTTTCCAAGGCTATAATCTTTACAGGGGAGCTCTGGTGGTATAGTGCCTAGGGCATTTGACTGCTACCCAGAAGTCTGGTGGTTCAAATCCACCAGCCACTCCTTGGAAGGAAGATTGGGCAATCTACTTCTGCAGATATACCACCTTGGAAACACAAGGAGGGGTCGTTATTGGTGGAAGCAGACTGGCACATCTTTCTCTCTGCAGAGTGCCTAGTGGATTTGAACAACTGACCTTTCGGTTAGCAGCCAAGCACTTTAACCACTGCACCACCAGAACTCTTTCTGTAAAGATTACATCCTAGGAAACCCTATGGTGCAGTTCTATTCTGTCCTATGGGGTCACTGTGAGTCACAAACTTGAATCGACTTGACTGAGATGAGTTTGGGTTTCTCTGATGATATTTTTATAACATTAAAAATTATGGTCAAACTGTCATCCACTTGGTAGGGATGTAGGAGATCCTGCATAGAGAGGGAGAACAATGTGGAACAAAACTCAAAATCATTTGGAGGCAAAAAAAAAAAAAGAAGGTGGGGACCAGGTTTGCTGGTCCAATAGAGCCTGGTGGAACCACTGAGACTATGGCCCCTAGCTACCCTTCAGGTCTGGAATTGAACCCACACCTGTGGTTTCCAGCCAAACAAAGTACAGGCATGTGAGTTAAACATTTACCTCAAGTAGACACACACCCTGGAGAGAACAATCATGGGAGAAAGAAGGGCTGCTTATGCACAGGGAGAGAGCTCAGGGCGCAGAAGAGTATGGAGGGATAGACACTGGGAAGAGGTGGCTGTGGGGAAGAAGTGGGAGGGGAGCTGTTGCATTGTAAATTTTGTTCAATGACATGAGACAAAGTATATGTGAACTGCTGTATGAAAAGTGAATTTACTCTGTAAATCTTCACCCAAATCAAAATAAAATTTAAAAAAAAAGCTAAAAAAAAACCAAACTCCAACCAAACCAAAAAAAAAAAAAAAAATTATGGTCAAAATATTTTCAACACATACAATTTGTATTTCTGTAATCAGAGGCAATGCTTATTAATGATACAAAAACCTATCAAAAAACTGATTTGTGCTAGTACCCTTGAAAATCTGCAACTCCAGTGGTTGTCTTTCTATGACATCAACTAACAGAAAATCCCATTCAGTGCAAACTATGTCTATTAGATTTCTTAGCAGAAGTGTAGCAATTTTATTTTAACAGTAACAGCAAAAACAAATTGCTTAAAACTGATACTGATTATTTAAATATTTTCCCTCATATTTGGAACCCATTTCTCTTATTATAATTTTAAAGCTCTCAGGGGGTATATCAAGGGTTATTAAATTAGTTTCAAAATTAATTTACATTTTTAAACAAGTTTGGGGTTGTCCAAATTTTTGACATTGAATTTAGAAGTGGGAAAGTAAGAATGATTTACTTGTGTACAGAGTAGAGAAAGTAATTGATTACATTCCATCAAAAAAAGTAAATGGACTAATAGATTGGTTGAAGTCAATTGAGAACCTTAATCTACAAATTTGCCTTTATGAAAAATCCATTTGAAACAATTCCTTGTTTAGTATGATTGGTTGAAGTTTTTTTAAATCAATAGTCTCCAAACACTGCTCATCTTAAAAAAAAAAAAAAAAAAGTGGCCATAATGACCCCAAGTACATGTTTTTGTTATCAATTTTTGTTGCTACTTGTTGAGTTGGCTCCAACTCACAGTGACCTGCTTCATCTCGCAATTGAGTCCATTTTTGAGCCACTGTCCATTTTGAGGTTTTCCAACTCAGGAGGCTCATCTTCCAGCACTATATCAGACAGTATTCTGTAGTGATCAGAGATATGTCAGAATAGAATTGTGCTTCACAGAGGTTCCATTGATTATTTTGGATGTAGATCGCCAGGCCTTTCTTCCTAGTCTGTCTTAGACTGAAACCTTCCACTAAGGGTGACCCTGCTGGCACTTGGAAAACTAGTGGTATAACTTCCAGCATTATAGCAACACACAATCCACCACATTATGACAAACTGACCAAGGGGTGATGCATTTATCAATTACATATTGTCA